CCTTTGGGCCCCCCCCCCCCGTAATTAAATTCAAACAAATGTTGACCATATAAACTTAGCTTCTTATTCCAGTTTGGTCTTTGCATCTGTTAAAACATCTTCATTGCGTTATATACTAGTTTGTTGTTTACCCTCTGCCTACATGTATGGACTGCTAACTTCCATTTCAATGTATCTGAGGAAGTGTGTGTGCACATGAAAGCTCATACCTTGAATAAAACTTAGTTGGTCTTAAATTGGACTCAGACTTTGTTCTACTGCTTCAGACCAACGCGGCTGCCCGCCTGGAGCTAACAAAATGATTTCCACTATAAACTTACATGAGTCAGAGGCTAGAGCTCGCTTTATAAGATGCATAGGAGTGTCCCTCCAAAGCAGTGAAATTTACACTTAAAGTTCAAGCAACAGAAAGGAATGGGGAGAATTAGGAGAAGTTACAAGGAGAGGTCAGTATCAAACAATAACCAATGAAATAGGAATCGGTCCATTCACAGTGTTAAGAATCACTCCCCACTGCTGGCCAGTAGGGAGGGTAGGATGAGAAGCAAACCTAATAATGTAAAAAATTCACAAGTGAGACAGGTTAAGCAGATTCAGCAGAGGAGTACAAAGACCATACAAAGGTACCACGGAATTAATTAACAGCTGCAAATATAGTTAGAGACCCGTTCAGTAGCACTTTAGAGACCTTAGTCTGACGGAGAAAGCTTTGACGCTTGAAAGCTTCATACCCTGAAGCTCTTGTTGGTCTCTAAGGTGCTTCTAGACTCGAATCTAACCGACCTACTGCAGACCACCACGACCACCCTCTGAAACCATCTGCAAAAGACCGGGTCATGCTGAGACTCAGCATCTGTATTGAGTGCAGTAACCCAAACCCTCATTCGAGTTTGGCAGTTGTACATGAGGAAGACAATATATCTTCCCCCTTCTTAGCCAGAGATGGAAGGGAACACAGAGGGCTGAATTGGTGGCACTTGCGTAAGTTTAAAACAAGCCACAAATACTACACACAGTCTAATATAGCAAGGAACTATGAGGAAGACAATATATCTTCCCCCTTCTTAGCCAGAGATGGAAGGGAACACAGAGGGCTGAATTGGTGGCACTTGCGTAAGTTTGCCATTGCTGTGCTTTCATAAATACCCAACAGGTCTAGATGTCATTGTGAGCGGGTAACTTCAAAGGCCCAACTGCTTTTCCTGTCTTTCCTGTAGCAGATGGGCGCCATGGGATCGTGCGTGTTGACCGTGTCCCGTTAGCTGCCAAGCTGGTGGACTTGCCTTGCATCATAGAGAGCCTAAAAACCATTGATAAGAAAACTTTCTATAAGACGGCAGATGTTTGTCAGGTAGGTGCAATCAGAGAATCCAATTCTTGACCCACCCTGCTGCATCTGTAGGTGGCCTTAACTTAGATGCTCCTCTTGAACTGTCTTCCGTCTCATGTCCATGCGGTAACTTCTTACAGATTAGCAGTGTTGTAAAAACATTCTATCCCACCCTTCAGCATAGAAAATTCCTTACTTGAAACTTAATTGATCTTTGATAGGCGGGACTGTGGCTGAATGGCAGAGCACCTGCTTTGCATGCAGTAGGTCCCAGGCTCAATTTCCTAGTATCTCCAGTTCAAAGAACCAAATAGTGGGTGATGCTGAAGACCCTAGAGAGCCATGGCAACTCAGAATCAACAAGGCTAACATGGCTAGATGAATGTTCTAGCTCCGTGTAAGGCAGCTGCGTGGGTTCATGTGTCTTTGGGGTGCATGACTGCCGGTACAGTTGAAGCATCTGGTG